TGTCCCCATGATTACTTTCGCTTTAATCAAGAGAAGATAGATTGGTCAATTGGCTTGCTGAAGGCTTTCACCAACTGGCGTCATTTCGCCTCTCCGATTCCAGTGAGGAATAAGTTTAATTTTAACTTTTATATTTTCCTTGTGCTTTGAAGTTTCTTTGGAGGTTAGATTGGTTTTACGGGTAGAGTTACTAGCCTTATACCCAATATTCCCTCTTCATCCGGGCAGAGGACTGGCTAGAAACCGCTGAACTTCTTACTTTGGCTTCATAAGCTTCTAGTGAATTTTGACGAAGATTACGTTGCGTAGTGTGTAGTATTTGGTGGAGTAGGTAGTGTGTTTGAAATAGATGAGTATCTTGTTTGGAAACGTAAAAATAACCTAGGACGACTTTAACGGGATTGGGTAGATTATAACTTAATGTATGTATATATACGTATCTGCCTTGCCAAATCACAAATTCTTGGTATAAATGACCGAAATACAAAGAAAGGACATTTTTGCTGCTTGCAGGATAGATCAGAAAAATCTCTCCGAAATTGGTTAACCCCCATCAAACTGCTATCGACAAGAAGCACGTTGTTGCTCGAACAACTGGAGTGCACACAAGCAATTCAGGAAAATTGGGGGTCGTCTTAGAAAGTTCTTAAGTCAGTTTACGGGAACTCGAAGGGAAATTTCCCCCATATCACCTAAATGATAGTCTCATGGTTTAGTGGCAGTGACTGACTGAATGACAAAATCGGCATAGAAACTCGCTTACAGATGCATCGACTCAATTTGCCACACTCCACAGTAGTACACAAAGAACACGTGGATAGAAAAAGTGATATCAAAGTAGACCAAGTCGTGTAAAAAACTACGCAATCTGAAGATAACAGTTAATGTGAATATTCAAGCTTCAGATGTCGAGTAGTGAATACATCTGCGGCACTGTGACATATTTTCAGCCATGTCACTAACAGTCCCTGACCACTGATTCTTAGTCTCGTGAACACCAACCAGTCAGTCTACCTCGCTTCACACGACTCAGATCAGCAGTGAGGGACGTCATCAACTGGTAACAGGTCGTGTTCTGGGCATCCTGAACCCTCTTCAAACCTAATCCAACTTCCCTAATCATGGTACATTGAGGTAGGGTGTAACTCGGCATGTGCGGTACTTATCTAAGCCATTTCCACCGACTAAGGTCCACAACGTCATGAATCGACTTGCCTGTCTTACTCAGTACTCTTCGTCTGACCTCAACATTTCCGCTCGGTGATTCCACCAAACGGAGAAATGCTATGAAAATATCTCTCATCAAAACCTAGTAATCGCTTTGTGTTCTTTACTTTTAACGGCCATATCTTACAGCTGTACAAAAGGACAGAATGGACCGCAGCGCAATGTACTCTTCCTTTGACAGATACTCGGATATTTTCTCAGTCGGCGTCCTAGATGATGCAATTTGGCAAGTGCTAAACAAACCTTCTGCATCCTGGCTAAGGTTTCGTCAACAACCAGCACTCTTGACTGATGCAACTTCCCAAATAAGTGAATTGGTTGATATATCCCACCACTCCAGTCTCCTATCATTAAACTGGGAGTACTTGCAGCAGACCAGTCCTCGAGCATCATATTACATGACAGGTGCGAAACGTATGCCAAACATACTCGAATTTCTGCTCAACGCGTTCAGAAGACGCTGAACTTTGTTAGCGTCTAAACCTAGCAGGGCGGTATCGTCTGCATACTTCAAGTCAAACAGATAACCTTCACGTAGGTAGTAGGTCAAACCCTGTAAAATCACTTTCCTAAGGTTGTACCCCTTAGTACGTCTCTGACGAAGTTAAATCGGAACGGTGACAATGGACATCCCTGGCAAACACCACTAGTTGTCGTCAATTCACATGACAACCCTTTATAAACTCTTACACGGTGAGTTGGAGTATAGGGCTTTAATTAGCGTTATGCACTTGCTCGGTACTCCTTTAACCGACAAATACTACCACAACACCTCACGACTGACTGAGTCAAATGCCACCTTCAGGTCAAGAAATGTGGCAGATGTCGGCCACTGGCCGATGCGTATGCCTGTGTTCCACAACCTGTCGCAGGGTGAAAATATGATCTATGCATCCTAGTAAAGGTCTCAAACTAGCTTGGTTTCCTCGAGTTTGCTGTTTTTGAGCTGCTGAAAGGCATCGGGTATATCCATGGACCCTGGGATCTTGAACGCAATATTAGCCAAACTGATTCCACCATAGGTATCATAAGAAGACTCTCCTCCCTTCTTATAAACTGAAATGATCAGTAAAGCTGAGCATTCTGACGGTACTACCTCTGATTCACATACACTACATGGTATCTCCATTATTTTAATCAGTAATTTGCTACCTCAATCTTCGAAAACCTCTGGTGGCAAACTGTCAGGTCTTGCTGCTTTCCATCGTCTCACGTTCGATACAGCTTTCTCAACTTCAAGGAGAGTTGGAGGATCGACACCTACGTCTCATTCAGATTCAGACTAGATGTTGAGGACCAGTTGAACTGGACTTCAAAGTGTTCTGCTAAACGTTCTAGCCGACTGTCCTAAGAGGCTATCAGCGTCCAATTCTTTTCGGTGATGGTCTCACTAACCATCGTCTTCTTCTTTCTGGTATTCTTAATAAGCCTAAATAGTTAGCAGATGCTACCCAATACTGATGTCTTCTCAATCTTCTTTGCTTTTTCCACCCACCACTGCTCGCGATCGTTGCGAAGACTTCTGTTCAATTTACGTGTAAGTTGCTTTTGCTCTTCATCGTGGTTTGAGCTAGTTGGAATCAGTCTCCTCTCATCAATCACTTTGAATAACGTTGCGGAAATCCAATGACGTTTATTAACCTCCGGATGTAGGTTACCAACTGTCTTTACTGCTGTTTCTACAGCCTACTGAATATCACGCCAGGTTTCCTCAGGATAAGCATTGCTGCCATGTTCAAACAAATACTTAGCTATTTCTTCCCTAAATGCGTACTTGACGTTCTCATCTTGTAATCGAGCACAGATAGGCCTTACTGTCACTTGTTTCCTGCTACCAGTAAGACGTAGATATACACGTGCTTGATCGGAGTCTAAACAGGTACTCCAGAAAGAGCGGTAATCTTCCGATGGATTATAGCAATATGATCTATCTGTGTCCACCGTTGGCTTGAAGTCAGAGGACGTCATGTGAGACATTGTCTCTCACTAAGCTTAAAGTTAGCGCTGGCCAGCTGTTATCGGAACGAAATTGCAACAGACGATCACCGTTGTCAGTTCGTTGATATAGGATTCCGGGATACTTCCAATATGCCTTTCCGATTGGCTCCCTTCAGCTTCCCTACTTGAATGTTAAAGTTACTTGCCATTATAGTTATATTTGTGCGCGAATATGTGATGCTAATTAAAGCTCTCTAGTTGAACTGACGCAGCTGTGTGAAGGTAGCTATATAAAATGTTGTCATCTATGGTGATGATAAGCAGTGGTCTGCTAGAGGCTAGGGTACTGGCTGTAACTGTTCCTGCTTAACTTGTTTATCGATGTATTAATTGACATAGCGCTATGCATTTCTGACTTCACAGGGATTGATCTACTCCGTGGAAGGTATCTGGTCGATTTGCAATGTATAGACAACATTCTCGTGTTAGGCGAAGTGGGGACTTCCGAACACCTTGAGCAGGATTCTGAGTATGTTGTATGCGTTTTGCACCTGTAGAGTGTAGGATGATGCTCCAGGACCGGTCTGCAGCTACTGCGAGTTTAAAAGTATGGAGTGAAGTGGTTGACCGCTTCATTTACTTCTTGAGTTGCATCAGTCCAAACTGTTTGGTTGCTGACAAAGTTTTAGGTTGGATACAAGGGACGGCATAGCATCCGACTAACTCTTGTTGGATATGTAAACTTCGTTGCTGTCTGCGTTATCCTGTTTTTTTATGCGCCACTTGGCCTTTGAAATTCTATACATTTTTTTTTACCTCTGGTGATGTCTTAGCATTTGTTGAGTGTTTTATAATTACTGTGTTACTGATACTGAGGTGTGGGAAAGGAAAGCGAATGAACTGCTGAAGTTTTGAACCATCAGCTTCCGGGCTGGCTTAGGCATGTGTTTGTATGCCAAGCCACCGCTTACGCCTTCGTGCAATGTAGATGGAAGTGGGATTGAATTGGAAGAAGGCCAAGCGTGGTGAAAGCAGGATATTGCATTAGTCTATGAAGTATTTGACTGTTGATCTGGACCATGTAGGGAGGTGTAAGCTTGTGGCAGTTGTCCTCAAAAAAATAAGAACCAGTCGTTAGAGATTCTAGGTGACAGCCAAAAATGGTGCAAATGTATTTAATATTTAACGCTTTGGAAGGCTTAACCATTTTAACTAGCCTTCAACGTTTTCAATTCTTCCTCCTCACATACATGGTCTACTTTGATATGTCTTCTTTTATCCACTTGTCTTTTGGATGCTTGTTGTGTGTGGCAGCTGGAAACGATGCACTTCTGTGCAAGGTTCTGCGTTGGTCCATCTGGCATTTATGCATCTGTTTACTGACAAATAATTCAGTTAACTCAATTTTTTAAATGAATCACTATCAGCTGCCGCTTTGTATTTTTGTAATATCTCATGGAAATTGTCATGCATTAATCACCATTTTCGGTCTTTGCGTATCCCGGGGGGATTATTTACCTTATAAGTAAATAATACTTTATCAATGTGTGCAGTATATCAAATAAAAAAAATCTAATATGGAATTCACTGGAACTTGTATTGGAGCAACAAACGTTCTGAACTTCAGTAATATTACCAGTTTCTATTTTGTCTGTCTTTTAAGATTTATTTAAATGCTTTTCGTTGAGACTCGTGAGCTAAACTTTTCAAAAACTTGTAACAGTCCTTTTTGTAGAGTGCAACGCAGTACATTCGTCGCCTTGGATAAAGACCAAAAAACTACCAGTGTTAAAGCACTCAAATAATTGGGTTTAAATTCTCTAGCTTCATATTTCATGGAAACAGTTGTGTTGGTCACAGGAGGCACTGGCTTGGTGGGGAACGGCATCCGGTTAGCTCTGGAAAGCATTAATGATTCCCTCAAGAGAGACGGTGAAAAGTGGATATTTTTGTCGTCTAAAGATGTCAACCTCGAAGATAGTAATGCTACTCGCGCATATTTCGAACTTATTCGACCAACTTATGTGATACATTTAGCCGCTAAAGTCGGTGGTTTGTTTGCCAATATGTCCGGCAACCTTGAGTTTTTCGTAAGTTAAATAAGAATTACTAAAGTTAGTTTCAAAAACCACTTTCCCCATATACATTTGTTTCGAAAACTTCCATCTTTGAAAGTGCACTACTTAAAGTAATGAAGTGAAGAAAAATGTAGTGATAATAATAGAAACAGTGAAAATATGGATACGAAAGTATATTTAAGTAAAATTTCCCTGCATGTATTCCTGGCTTATACGTTAATATGGAAGAACCATTGCAGATGTGGAGAAGCCAATATTAACTCTGTCTTAAAATTACCCGATGTTGTATGAAAAGATTTTTCGAACTGAAGTTAATCCTGTGTCTGTCATTAGATTCATGTTCAGTCTAGTTACTATGAGTTTCTAGGCAAAATACGTTCCGAACACTAAAGGGATTTTCATATGGGAAACTGGATATTTCCTCTACTTACATCACTTGTGAAGTGAAAACAGTTTACATACTAGCCGCTTCGTGCTTATTTTTACTGTTATTTTTATGACCATTTTCAATTCATGTTCTGGAATTTCTACACCTTCATTGGGTTCTTAGCTTACTTTCTTGGATCTGATAAAAATTAACTTTATGTGCTAGCTTACACAACTTTATTAATATAGAAATTATTTAAAATATTTGTAAGTATAAGGCATAATGCTATAGATACACATAAGGTGTAGATTCATTTACTCACTTCACACCAAAATCATGTTGCGAATTTTACTATGTCGTCTGTGATTTATAACTCGGGCTTCATAATAAAATGATAACAAACGAACACAAGTCAACAACTTTGGCATTTGTGGATACTTTGGTTTATTAGTTCTGGAAAGAATCATGCATACCACTGCTTCTGCACCGGGAATCTTAACATTGTTCTCGAAATACTCAGCTATAATTGATGGTAGGCAAAGTCCCCTTTCTCAACACGACCATATATCCCCGATCGATAACTGCTATCTCGACATGGGAGGAGACTTGCGTATCACAATGATCCAACAATGGTTTTCTGTGTCTATATATGTGGAAGCATGTATATGCTCGAACCGACGCGTGTTCGCTGTTCAACCACGTGCTCCCGAAGGTGCGGCAATCTCCCGCCGATGCTCTGCAGTGATAATTGACAGCAATATAGTTTATCTGTGTCCACCTAAGTGCTTCTCTACCTGACTTAGCCTACCCACCTGTGTATTGAAATCACCTGTTAGAAAAAGCACATCTGAACCTTCAGCTATCTGTAGGAGACTAGATGGTTTTCGGTAGGAATTACTCTTCACTTATGAACTGCAGTCAGTGGGTGTGTAAGTAGAGATCACGAAGAGACTACGGTGATTTTAATCATTTCTTTTAGTCCTCACTTTGCCATTCAGTTGCATAGCCTATGTGTGACTGTCAACTGGGATCTAGCTAAGGAGTGGACTTTCTGCTTTAGTATTTCAATGCTATGCAACAACTGGCATATCGCGAGAATTAGCCATCAAATCTCAAGAAACTCGAAGGTTGTCTTTTGTGGATTCATCATATTACCCAGGTTTTTGCTTAGGTGAAAAATCACAAATGGGTCGGGTATGCGTCCCGTCAAACTGGTCTGGATCGCTAGTTATTCCAGTTTATGAGAAGGGAGATAAGTCCAACGACAAATATTGGAGGATCAGTTTGACTAACATGATATCGAAAAGCCTAGGACGTACAGTTATATGTAGCGCATCTGGGGATCTAGAACAGCAAACTCGAGAAAACTAGATAGTTTTCAGACGTGGACAATAATACATCGCTCAGACCTGGAGTTTTAGATAGGTTCTGGAACACAACCGTGCTTGCCACTTTTTAAACCTGAAGGTGGCATTCGACTCTGTCGACCGAGGGGTGTTTTAGGAGTGTTTGACTGTGAAGGAATTTTCTAGTCGAACTGACGCAGCTGTGTGAAGGTAGCTATGCAAAAGTTGTCATTCATGGTGACGATAAGCAGTGGTCGATGTATTAACTGATATAGCGCTATGCATTTCTGACTTCACAGGGATTGATCTACTCCGTGGAAGGTATCTGGTTGATTTGCAATGTATAGACAACATTCTCGTGTTAGGCGAAGTGGGGACTTCCGAACACCTTGAGCAGGATTCTGAGTATGTTGTATGCGTTTTGCACCTGTAGAGTGTAGGATGATGCTCCAGGACCGGTCTGCAGCTACTGCGAGTTTAAAAGTATGGAGTGAGGTAGTTGACCGCTTCATTTACTTCTTGAGTTGCATCAGTCCGAACTGTTTGGGGGGGTGAATGATGGTGCATGGTCGTCATGTAAGTTTTGTTTGTTGACTTCATGCTAAGTGTTAACACTTTCATTCTGTTTAAACACTTTGATTTAAAGATTTTGTGAACAATATTGATAACTTTTGTTTCTGTTCAGCGACAAAACATGCATATTAATGATAATGTTTTATCAAGTAGTCATGCAGTTGGCGTTAAAAAGGTTATATCTTGTCTTTCAACGTGTATATTTCCTGATCGTACAACTTATCCAATTGATGAAAAATGGTGCACAGTGGACCACCTCACGATTCTAATTATGGTTATTCGTACGCCAAACGTATGATTGATGTAATGAATAGGTAAGTTCACTTTTTGTTGTTCTTTATAGATAGTCTTTCTGAATGATTACATTGAAGTTCATAATTATTTACTACTCTGTTTCACCAACTATATGCGATTAGTATTAATTTAACGTTGGTTGAAGGAATCCAAAGAAAGCCAAGTATTTTATACGTATATCATTATGAATTAAACACCCATTAGTTAGTTATTAGTTTGTGATGGGTATAACACTCAGTTCAGTTTATTAATCAATTATGAATTTAGATATGAAGTTGTGCTGTCTTCTTTGGCCACATTTGCATTCATGCATCCTGCTGTGAACTGTACCAGTTTGCAGTTGAAATATGTGACACAGGTTACACGATGTTGCTATCGGCTTACGTGTTCATCTGACCTAGCCATGACTTATTGGTTAAATGTAATATCTGGACTAAGTGTACGAATTCTGAGCTACAATCATATTGGTCATGAAGTCACACCTTTGTGGTCTACTGACCTTTTTTTAGAATATTAACTGTTATTAAACTTTCTCATGTTATATTATCATTTCAGAGGTTATAGTGAAACATATGGCGTCATGTACACGTCTGTTATTCCTACAAATGTCTTTGGACCATTGACAACTTTAATATCGATCAAGGACATGTTCTCCCTGGTCTTATCCATAAAGCTTACTTAGCTAAAAGTAATGTACATGGTTTCATTGTGTTGAATTATACACCCTATGTAAAGTTTGGATATTTTCATATTCTTGTGGGCTTTGGATTTTCATGTAGAGTAAAGTTTCCAGACTATTTACTCAATATTCATGAATCTATGGCGAAACTGTTGAAATAACCGTGAATAAAGTTATTTTAATGTTAAGAAACTATACAATAACTTTCAAATTTCGTAGTATCCAGTCAACTATAAAATGGCAGAACGGTACCTTATCCATCTTATACAGTAGTATAGCTAACTATAAGAGTCTGTAGCTACCACTTCATTACACGATTGAAGATTTTGTCTAACTTTATTCAGTTTATGGGGTTGAAATATATGAAGTGTTTTGAGTTGCATCACCTCCTGGCAGAAAGCTGTTTTGTTGAGAAGATTAGGTCAATTGACATCAAGTCAGGGCAATTAAACCTCAAAGAGTATATGCAAAAAGGTGCAGTTCTGAAACAAAGTTTATGAGTCATATCATCGTTTTTGCTATTCATTTCTTGTTACTGTCTACGTGTATTGATCTTGAGGACTTTAATTGATTTAGGCGATTAAGACAAAATTGAAAACTCCATAATTCATTGTTATATCGTTCAGGATTTTTCTCGAATCGGTCTTCATTCTTATGCTACTCCACTTACATAATATTACGAACTAGTCAGCTATCACACTAATCTCATTTGAACGTAACTGTTCCACACAAGTAGTTTTTCAACAAAACCCTATGATTTCTCATTGTATATTCAAAACTGTCAACATCTCAGCTATTAGACACAAAGCTTGAATGTTCGAAAATATACCGTTTTACGTGCAACAGCGTTAGTGCATTTTGCTCCCTAATCTTCATCCACCCTATTTCACACTAAAGGCGAGGCGATTCAATAAGTACCTTGACCCTCTATCGTATATTTTGTGTTCCATTCTAAAAAGTTCTCTAACCCTCAAACAAGCGTAGTTACAACGCTTAAAAAAGAGAAACCTTACGTCAAAATTATCCCAAATATCAACTTTTTTTCCCCTAGATTTTGTTTGATTTTTTGAAAATTATTATTCTGCGTTTCTAACATTCAGTGGGATCTGCTATGGAAAAAAGTACATCTGATTGAGGAGAAACCCAGTGATTGACAACATAAAAAGCTAAGAAGAAAAGTGTTATACAACATAGTTTCACTATATACAGATAACTACTCATACATCTTAACTGCCCTGTCAATATACAAATTATCGATAGAAAATATTTCTCAAAAGAATAGTAGTACTAAATGCATTAACTGCAGTTGTTTCCAAGTTTACAGTAAACTGATTTACTTCTAGTATCACCACAATTTTTACAATCACTTGTTATCAAACGAAACTGGTCATTCACTTGACAACATTTATTACATTTTGCGTTGTTGTACTTTTTGGAATTCCCTTTAAACTTAGTTTCTATTTTAGAAAATAATGAACCGTTAACTGTTTGGGGTTCAGGCGCCCCGTTGCGTCAATTTATCTATTCGATCGACCTGGGTCATCTGATTGTATGGGTATTACGGGAATACAATGATCCTTCTCCAATCATATTGTCTGTTCCAGAAAAAGATGAAATTTCTATTCGTCAGGCAGCCGAAACAGTAGCCAAGGCAATGGATTGTACTAATCTTGTTGTATCTTTTTCGTTTTATTCTTGTTGCCTGGTTTTTCGACATTTGTTTTTCAACTTTTTCTCTTGAGAAATAATTTGGATATGCCTTTTGTTCTTAAGTGTATTACCTAATGAGTTAAATACTATACTGGATGATGTCGTCCAGTAAAGTATACTGCGTCACTGTGTGCTGTATCAAATAAGCAATCTAGTACGGAACTCTATTCCAATCTCAAATGTGCAGCCATACATTTCAATGATAATTTAATTACTTTTACAAAGTAGGCAGTAAGTACATTCAAAAAAATCTAAAAAGAATAAGTGATCTGCTGCTACGATTTGTTTCGCAACATTTTTTTAAACCGTGAATAAATCTCAGTAACTCTGCGTCGTGGTTATCGACACCATTAGTGACACATTTAAATTTAGGTCGTAGAAATACTTCGGTTTTCCCACATTCTTATCATTGTCTAATTATCATAGCTTGGAATTCCTTGACGAAATAACTATGAAGTTCGATACTTCCAAAGCCGATGGACAGTTCAAGAAAACTGCCAATGCATCAAAACTTCGCCAACTTTATCCTGGTTTTAAATTCACTCCTTTTGAACAAGGTGAGTTCGACATTCATTTACTTAAATTGATCTACATTGCCTAGTTTCTTAGTGAAAGCCTTTATAAATTTTAATGTCATACATTCAATAGTACCTATGAATTTCCGACGTGCTATTTTTATACACTCTTTACAGAAACGAATTAAAAGTTCTCATATGTATTCGTCATCAACATAGAAACAGGTATTACTGCATAAAGATTCAAGTTGCTACACCTGAGATATGGATATAAAACGAGAAAGCACTACCATGAATGACAAAGAAGCAACAGTCAAAAGTAGTAAATAGGGAGGAAGTATGGACAAAAAAATAACGTATTCACCATGACGATTAAGATGAAACTAATATGTGGATGCATCGATTCTAAGCCATATCACCTAGAGTTTCCAAACAATTGTTTCTTTTATCACGCTGATCCTAACCGGTGTTTCCCTTGGATGACCATCAATGCCACGCTGATGCTGCCTTCTCAACGGAAGCGCGATTTAGAAAAGGTCAGCGCCAAAAGTAACATTCCACCATGCCCACGTTTTTACGGTGCCGACGGTATGCGTCCTCTGTATCCAGGATTGAAACAACCAAACCGAAAAACCCCTATATGTGACAGACCTCAAGCAGATGTCCCATTAGCTCTGTGATCACATAAATCTCTTTCAGGTACCTTAAAAGGAAATACCCTTCCATGGTGTGGGCTGCTAAGGAATATCAACCGCCCGCACGCTTCCAGTAGTACTTTAGACCCAATCAAACATAGACTATCTTCCTCAGACGTCTCCTCCTTTGCCTTCACCTCCTAATACTAATATTAGGCCTCTTACGCCTTACTCAACCTCTCCCTCTGCAACCATTATCAACGATCAAAGCCATCGATACCTCATTCCTAGTCTCCTAAGACCTCGCCATCGATTTCATGTAGGAGCTTTCAACGTCCGAACTCTATGCCGAGTCGGACAGCAAACATCGCTCACCAGAACTCTGGAATCTCTAGCCATCAATGTGTGCTGCTTCTCTGAGACACACACACACACAAGACTTCACTTGGCCATAATAGGGAATCTTCATAATTCACCGTACCAGTTTCCGGAGACCCAATGGCCAGCTCTCGTAAACACGCTAGCGTAGGCATAGCATTGATATGTAGGGCTCTTCGACTAGATGAAGGTATAAGAACTATAAAGGATCGGAAAACTAGGCGATGCCCATTCGTTCCCACCTATTGAAGTTTGGACGATGCGAAGAATGAATTCTATGAAGACCTGTCAATTTTGCCAGAGAGAGCAAAATCTTCAGATGTGGTCATAATGCCAGGTAACTTTAACATTCAAGTAGGGAAGCTGAAGGGAGCCAATCGGAAAGGCATATTGGAAGTATCCCGGAATCCTATATCAACGAACTGACAACGGTGATCGTCTGTTGCAATTTCGTTCCGATAACAGCTGGCCAGCGCTAACTTTAAGCTTAGTGAGAGACAATGTCTCACATGACGTCCTCTGACTTCAAGCCAACGGTGGACACAGATAGATCATATTGCTATAATCCATCGGAAGATTACCGCTCTTTCTGGAGTACCTGTTAGACTCCGATCAAGCACGTGTATATCTACGTCTTACTGGTAGCAGGAAACAAGTGACAGTAAGGCCTATCTGTGCTCGATTACAAGATGAGAACGTCAAGTACGCATTTAGGGAAGAAATAGCTAAGTATTTGTTTGAACATGGCAGCAATGCTTATCCTGAGGAAACCTGGCGTGATATTCAGTAGGCTGTAGAAACAGCAGTAAAGACAGTTGGTAACCTACATCCGGAGGTTAATAAACGTCATTGGATTTCCGCAACGTTATTCAAAGTGATTGATGAGAGGAGACTGATTCCAACTAGCTCAAACCACGATGAAGAGCAAAAGCAACTTACACGTAAATTGAACAGAAGTCTTCGCAACGATCGCGAGCAGTGGTGGGTGGAAAAGCAAAGAAGATTGAGAAGACATCAGTATTGGGTAGCATCTGCTAACTATTTAGGCTTATTAAGAATACCAGAAAGAAGAAGACGATGGTTAGTGAGACCATCACCGAAAAGAATTGGACGCTGATAGCCTCTTAGGACAGTCGGCTAGAACGTTTAGCAGAACACTTTGAAGTCCAGTTCAACTGGTCCTCAACATCTAGTCTGAATCTGAATGAGACGTAGGTGTCGATCCTCCAACTCTCCTTGAAGTTGAGAAAGCTGTATCGAACGTGAGACGATGGAAAGC